ACAAATTTATTTTTTGTCTCCCTTTAGCTTCATTCTCCTGAATTTATTCTCGTTACAAATGCAGACCGCGGGCTCAATGTAGTTTGTTTAAGTGGCGTTGCCATAATGTAATGTCATCGGGAGGCGCAAGGCCCATGGCGAATTCGGTGACGTCATCGTAAGGCGCAGGGACCATGGAGAATTTCTCCGTAAAATTGTCCGTTTACAAACCGCAATCCCGCTTTCGAATAAAACCTACACCCCGCTATAATTACTTTAGTAAGCTGTCCAGACCAATCAAAATGTTTTGCGCAATTGTGCAAACGTTAAAACAATTATGTATTGTGACGTCATCAAAAGGCGCAGGCCCCCGAGTCAATCTGGCAGCCCGAGTCAATCTGGTACCTACACCGGTTTGAACCCTCCCTCCGTCTTTCTGTCATTGGGCAAGATACAGCACCCGCAGTGGAAAATAATAAAGTACATTTACTTACTTGATTACCATACTTAAGTACTTTTATGAGTATCTTTACTTCACTCAAGTAACTTTTTGGGGCAGTACTTATAACTTTCACTCTACTACATTACAAAGTCAAATATTGTACTTTCTACTCCACTACGTTTTGAAGCAGCTGCTAGTTCCTTGTTCCTTTTAGCTTAACTTTGCTTTCTAATCTGCTGTTACTGTTTTTCTTTTTTTAATGCAATTTCAACATGTAAGATAGCAGCCCTTGGGACTGAATTTGGACACCAATGTTTTAGAGAATTAATAACATTTCACAAATGTGACAAACGCACTGCAGATATTATTTGTAGCTTATTATTTTATTAAGGCGTTAGTTGTTGCCATTTGGCCAAGTTTTTCAGTAGGATGAGGTCTCAAGTCAGAGTGGCGTTTTTTTGTGATAATAGATTCAACCTTAAACTTCTATTCAATAGTGAGAGTTTGAGGAGAATCAAGACGCACCTGTTTTACTTTCGGTCTGTTTTTTTTATATAAGAAATAATAATCAAAATTGCTTTCCTTATTTTTTTTGAGGCATTTTTATGCTGAAGTTTTCTACGAGTTGTCTAGAAGTTGTAGCAGAGATGTTCTGCACATCAAAACAGGTGGTTTCTGAAGGTTACACTCTGAAAATTATAAAGAAATGTGCTGATATTAGAAATATTCATTTGTATTTTTGAATAAGTATCTTTAAACGTGAGTACTTCCATATTTGTAAATTTTTTACCAAGTAACTTTAACTTGCAGTTGAGTAACATTTGACTATGAGTATCAATACTTTTAATCAAGTACTACTGTTGAGTACTTCGTCCACCACTGAACACCCACAGGGTCTACTGATCGTGATCAGAGGATTTGGTGGTGCCCATTTATAGCAGCCTAGTTTCTCTCAGTGTGCCCCAGTGTAGCCGTGGATGCAGTTAATCTTGCCTCCAGTAAGGACTGAATGTAGTGCAAAGCTTCTGAGTACAGGCTACTCACCAAGTCAGAGGTGTCCAATTTTTTATTTTCACTGCAGCGTGTGATTGTGAAGGTTGTGAAGTTAAAAGAACCCTCTAATTATAAACACAAAAACTGAGAGGTTTTGTTTGGTTTTTGATTAATATATTCTATGCAATAAGCTAAACATACTATTTTTATGACATGTTTTTTGGTGAAAGGGATGCGAGAAAATCATGCTTGCTCTGCCCCGCCATGGTTTAGTGAGTTATCACCACAACCACTTTTGCAATTTACATTATGTTTTGTTAGTTTGATTCTGCATGAAAGTCAGGAAAACAACTCAAAACACGACAGTTTGGACTCCGGTTGTTTATAGACACTGTCTGGTATTTAAATGTTGCCAGCTGGTGTTTATAAATCCTGCTTAAAATGTAGCGTTTAACAACAACCACTAGCTGTTTAAATTGTGGTTTATGAATTGTTATTCAAGTTGGAACATTAAGACATCTGCTTGAAATGATGCTGAGATAAACGGTGTGTTTTATTTAGATTATGCCGCCCTTCACTTTGATCGAAAAACACAATAAAACAAAAGAAGGGCATAAGGCTCACAGAGATGTTTATCGGTTGCTCGAGAACATAGAAAAAAGTTGTCTCTCAGTCTGAAAAAACAACATCAGTTCTTTACAGCTATCTTTTTCTAGAACCAGATTAGAACCAGCACTCCGACCTGTCCCACCTCAACACCGGACCTTCGTTGTTATGGAAACCCTTGAAAATTCATAATGGTGGTCTTTTTTTAAATCCCTGTTCTGCTCATTTGTTCAGCCTGACCTTTGAAGAATGGCGATCATTCATGTTATGTAGCTGCAGTGATCTAAGCTGAAGGTTTGATATACTTTGAGTAAACTGTCAACAAATGTTTTAGTTTCTTCAATAATCAAATTAAAACATTTGTAGCTTTAAATATTTAATATCCTTTAGATTTAGAGTTTGATTTAGAGTAAATTGATAGCTTTCCTGAATTTTATGCTTTGTTACGTTTGCTTACAACTTAAACACCCAGAGGACAAGTTTTGAAAATCAGTTTTACTTTAGATTTCTCAGCCTATCTACATTATTGAATATAATAAAATTTTCCTTTTGAATGAATGTATTTCCTAAAGGACCGTGTGACCTAATTTTGTAAAAAGCTAACTAATGGAGCCAAGAGTTTATGGCTGTTTTGATAGTAGCAAAGAGAGGGGTGCTGGAATGAACTAAGGGAGACATTTTCCACTCGCTGTAATTCAAAGCTATTATGTGTGACCCCTGTTGGTTTCTCATATCACAGTAATGATGAGTGGATGCTGAGCTGTGCTGCTCCCCATTGCACACCGCTTCTGCTCCAGTGGAGTTTTCTATCCCAGTAACAACATGTGGGCTTCCTCAAACCCTATGGTTTCATACCCATTTGTCAGTGGGTGGCCAGCAGAGACACATTCTACAGAGCCTATTTAAAGTCTTTACATATTTTAGAAGGAAAATAACTTTCTGTGAGATAGCTTCTGCTTGTCAAATGTTAAAAGTTTTGTTGCTAAAATTTGTCATAAGTGCAAGATTCGAGTTGAGAGAAACGTCTAAAATCAGCATGCAGGGATTCAATAGTACTGCAAAAATATTTAAATTGCAAAAGCAAAAACAGAGCTAATGAAAACCCTAACTGAACATGAATACAATAAAATTCTTGCACGGATCTGTTTGCCCTCCACACACCATGACCCCCATCATTTCTGGTCTCTGGTGGGAGTCAACAAACTGTGCTGTCGCTGCTATATGTGGGCATCAGTAGTTTTTTCCTATTAAACAAACAAATCCACAGCATTTTTGATTTTTCTTCTATGAAGGCATCAATAACAATTCAATTCAGTTTATTTGTATAGTGCCAGTTCACAACACGTCAGCTTAAGGCACTTTACAGTTCACCAGATCATTCAGTCAAATTGATTCAAAGTTTTCTATCTAAGGAAAACCAGCTAATTGCATCAAATGTTTACTCAAATGCAATCCCTCACACTAACCATGCTTGTGGCGACAGTGGAGAGGAAAAACTCCCTTTTAACAGGAAGAAACCTCCAGCAGAACCAGGCTCAGTGTGAGCGGCCATCTGACTAGGCCGACTGGGGTTCAAGGAGAGAGAAGCAGAGACACAAAAAGCAACTATAAAAGGCCAGAAAACACACAGCCAGGCAGACACGCTCCGAGCCAGCTCCCCATTCTATTTTTAGAAATTCTAGGAACCACTAGTAAACCTGCAGATTGATAGCAAAGTGCTCTGTTAGGAACATAAGGAACAATCAGATCTCTGATATAAGATGGAGCTTGGCCATTTAAGGCTTTATTTGTGAGAAGGAGAATTCCAATGCAATGCAATGCAGAAATTATTTACCAACCCCTCTACATAATCTAATCCAGGTGTTCCAATCACTTCCATGCTCACAGGTGTATTACATCCAGCACCTAGACATGCCGGCTGCCTCTGCAACCATTGGTAACAAATTCCAGGATGATGCTTTTATGGGATGCCATCTGTGTGATAATCATGTAATGAAGTTTCCTTGTTTTTAAATAGAATAATAATAATTGAACTGTATTCAACTCACACTGGAGAAATTCCCTCTCTGCATCCAACCCATCCCCTTGCGGTGTGGCGCCTGGGAAATAGTGTGGGGTTAAGGCTAATAGACCCAGAGGGCAGGCTGTGGGGATCGAACCACCTACTTGCAACCTTCTCAGAGCACAAGAGCACTGCTCTAAACATTAGGCCTAAACTTTTTCCCTAATTTCCCCTAACTTTACTGGAACCTGATGTTCAAGTAAAGTTGTTGTTACAACCCATGTCTGGATTCTACCTCTGTCTCTGCATCCATTGATAAAACTGATCTAATCTGATGTTTTTTATTTGGCCTTAAGCTTGTATTGAATTATCTGATTGGTTCATTTAATATTTTATAATAAATCCAATTTATAAAATAGATAAATATTGCCTGACATGTTGTAAGTCTCAATTTCTAAAGCAAAATAGTTTAAACGTTCATAATTTACTAAAATGTTGAATTAATCAGTTTGACTATATTGTTTTGCTTTTAAAAAGTAAGTAAAGTATAATTAAATCATGTTATGTTAGTTTTTCAACAGATTGTTTGATTGTTGATATTTCCTTATTGGGAAGGCTGGGTATTTAATTAAACAAGTAAACTAATATAATTAATTAAGAAACTGGAACAGGACACATCAAATAAAGCAACGTAAATAATCAAAAGTACTGATCAGCAAAGTTTGTTTATTTATAAATCAAATTACAGAGACAAACAAAACGGTACATTTAAAAAGCGTGAGATTCAAAAAAGAAGCTAAAGCAAATTACATAAAGAAAGGAAACGAGTAGCCTACAGATAAAACCACCGCGTCTCCCGCTGCTCTGTGATTGGCTCGGGCTTAATGAGTCCTAATTAACTGACTGACGTGCAGGTGCGCCAGAGAGCGCGCATTAGGAAGGAGCTTCTATGAGCGGCTATGACTTGCCATCCAAAACGAGAGTTACGTTTACTTTTAATATTGATTATTATAAGTGTATTTATTTTTCAGCGTTGTTTTTCGGTTAGTTTAGCACCGAGGGAAAATGATTCTGCCGGCCTGCGTGGAGTTTCTGCGGGCGGAGAGAGTCCTGCACACGGTCAGCGGGGGCTTTCGCATGCCGTTAAACAGGTTACATGGACTCCGAGCTGGGATTTATTCAGCCTGTCGGCTCTCCTGGAGCTCCAGTCTGGCTTTAAACCTCCGACTAACTCACTCCCACCTGTCGGGGAACTAAAACCTGATAAAACCAGCAACAGCTTAAACCTCAGCAGCTCCATGTGGACCACCGGGAAGGTCAGGGAGGAAAGAAGATCAGCTGCTCAAGGCTTTAAACAAGGTTACCAGGCAGATTTTACAGGTCAGGGCAAACTTTGTTACAGCTTATCTAAAAGCAACCAAAATATTTAAAAATGGGATTTAAAAAAAGTAAAAAAACAAAAAACTATACTCTGTTAAAGACTGCATACCTCCACTGATTGCATGTCCTATTTATTTTTATGTTTGTTTGTTGTACAGTGTCCTTAGATGAAATAAAATGTATTAATTTCACTGTCTTATGCAACAAATAAGTGAGATTTCTACTATTAAATTAAACCATGTTCTTTTTAATAGCACACAAGCATTGTTTTTAAAACCAGCAGCTTAAATTTACTAATACCCCTCTCAGTGATTAATAGTACACATTTTGTACCTTTGGTACAGTAATATTTGCTTAAATCTTAGACCTCCCTGTCAGTACTGTAAGCCTGAAGTGTTTCCACTAATGTGAGCTGTAAATGTTAAGGTCTTCAGTCTGCTAATTCATCATTCTTTGGGTCCCTGGGATTCTGTTTAGCCATCTCCATCATGCTTTAAATTTTATTCATTTTTTTCTACAAGTCTGTATTTTACATATGTCTAGAATATAATTAAGAGGCGATTCAACGTTATGCTTTAACATTTTTGTTGTTGTTTTAGGTTTTTCTGTTATTCAGGGGAAGGTTTTGGGCCTTTCGTCTGACTCCAGCCCATATTTCTCTGAGTGGGAGGCCATGAGACCTCTAGTGAAGTGTGCCGATGATTCTATGACTTTCCATGCATCCGGTCAAGGGTTCACACACCTGCAAGTTGACAGAAGTAAGACGACAGACATCTTATTAGTCAATATAAACTGTAACTCAGGTTTTCCCCCTATAGGAGAATATAGAAAAGCAGGATGATTTACATTTCTATTAGAACCATCTATGCTTTTTACTTTCCCAAGCACCATTTTTTTTTTTTTTTTCTTCTCTTGGATAGCTCAGAATGACGGCTGTGGTTTTCTTTGTGTGTGGCGAAGGGTCTTAATATTTCTGTTTGTAGTCTAACTTATTCCTGAAGCATCTTTTTTCCATCTCCAGAGAAGGCTTCTCCCATCTCCATTTTCCAGCTGCCATCCTACTGCAGCTACTTGGTGAAGGCGTCACGGACTGACCTGGAAATGATGGTGCCATATGATGACTGCTACATCATACAGGAGGTATCAGGAGCAAAGGTTGCCTGATATTATCAAATTATGCTCCAGGTAATGGGTGTCTATTTTTCCTCTATCAGAATGGCAGTCACGTGCTTCCAATGCTGTGGTTAGGAAGCCCTCTGAGGCTGTCCTGTCCAATCACAGCATCCACAGTTATTCCCATGTACTCCCTGCCGGCTCCCACAGTCTTCTGCTCTGCTGATAGCATGGCAGTACAGGTCCAGCGGCAAGAGCATAGTGTACCTGTCCTTGGTGTCATAGGTACGTACACTACAATGATGGCTCAAGAAATCCCGTTTCAGACTTGATTTCAAACTTCTCCAAACTGGAAACTAATACAATCCACCTAAAATGGGATTTAATATTCAATAGAAAAGTGATTCTTCATTGCAGACTCTCATTAAGAATTCTATTTGAAATGGTTTGGGAAAGGATTGCACCTAGAGCAGGCATCTTGGTGCAATCAGAGTCACTAATGAACTGATGTATTTACACATCATAGGATGTAGATTTTGTTTGCTGGAATACTTCTATATCCCAGTAGTCTGCAAGCTTTGGCCACAGTGGAGCTCTAAGCTAAGCTTTACACTTCTTTTGGTTACTTTGTCTAACATTAGTAAGGTTTCTTTCTTCCATAGCTCCCAAGACTCCCACTTGGACCGGGAAAATATTGTATTTTACCCTTCTTTTCTCTTCTTTGCAGTCTCCTATAAATGTCCCGTATTGTGGTATTATAGAATTGTATAAAAAAAATGTATCTGTCTCTCTAAACAGAACTGTCACTAGCATCACAATTCAAAATCGAATCCCCTTATTATAGGCTGAAATTGGTGGACGCATGTTTATTTTAGATTTGTGTGTACATGTCTTAAAAATATAATGCATACTGGAGCATGACTGGGATAGTCGGATGGCTTACAGCAAATCTCGTATAAAATTTCCTTTGTTTTCAACTCTAAAATTTGACAGGTATTATTGCTTCCGTTATAACATTTTTTTATATCAGTAGTACATTACTGGGACGTTTATTTGCACTCTTACAGACTCTATTCACATAAAAATATACTTTATTGATACTGAGGGAAAGTAAAAAGATTTTTTTAGAAGCTTTAGTATCATTGCACAGTACTTATGAGTTAATTTATTTAGACTCCAAATGTAATGCCTCCACTTAAAGGACTGGAGTGGGAAACAATGGATTTTATGTTGTCTTCAGACTGCACGCTGTGTCTGCTGCGAGCGAGGTGGATACACATAGAGTCCAGTAGTGCATCCCACACGGCGAGGGTGTTCACTGCTCTGCTCTCTCATGGTGCTACTAGGTAGGACTGAGGTGTTGTTCAACAGCAGCGCCGCATGGAAAGAGCCGAGCGGTGATTGCTGCAGATGAAACGAGCTCAACTTTTCTATGAAATCGAGACACCGTAATAGATCAGGGACGGGTTGTAGGCGAAGCTTTTTTAGTTTGAAATGGCACAGCTCAGACACAGCTTTGGATGAACCAAAGTGGATTCTTTTCTTTTTTTCCCCCCCCAGAACTTTTGCAGCTTTTCCAAAGAAATGGTCTCTCCAAAGTGTTTCAAAAGTTTTTCAGAGAGAATGTATGCATATGTGTTAGGGATGCGCGATATTGGGATTTTGGCCGATATCCGATATGCCGATATTTTAAAACTCATGTAGCCGATAACCGATATCGATACCGATGTTAAAGCTGGACAAAAATAAGTAGTCATTGAAAATAGCAGTTTTGTTATCCATTTCTGACACTTTGAAAAATAATATACTCAAATATATTTTCATATGCTGATATGAAATAGATTTTTAAAAACGCGGTATCGATCTATTTTACTTTCAGAATCTCGTGAAATTTCATCGTTCTGTTACAAATTCTCGTGATATTTTGCAAATTCTTGTGGGATTTTGTTAGTAAAATAGATCAATACCGCGTCAATATATCAACATATAAAAATATGGCAAAATTTCGTGAATTTTCGGGGGATTTCGTTGCATAACGATGACATATAGCAATATTTCATTAGTAAAAGAGATTGATATGGTGTTTTTAAATGGCAATATATCAGCATATGAAGATATTGTGATATTTTAATGTATCAATATTTTTTCCCTCGTCTTTAGAAGTTTTTGAGGAAGAAGAAGTAGTAGTATTTTTTATTTTATTTTTTTTACTTTAGAAACTTAGATGCTGATCAAATATCGGGTTAAATATCGGTGGGGTGGCCGATGTCCGATATTCAGTTTTAAGGCCGATACAGGCCGATACCGATAGGGGGCCGATTATATCGTGCATCCCTAATATGTATGCATATCTTATGCATACAAGTATGTATGCTCACACGAAAACAAACACACATCCACTATCCAGTAATTGAATACCTTTAATAATATAGCATTAGGGCTGGGTACCGAACTTCGGTACTTTTATGGTACCGACCGAAATGCTTCGGTTCTACAGAGTATCGAAACATGCCTCGTCTTTCGGTACCAAGTTTCGGTGATTGGCTGGAACACTTAAGGTGATTGCGTCATCCAGGAAAAATACACAGGTGGTCACGCCTACAGCCAGGGTTCATGTGTATCTTTTGTGAACTGGTTGCGAGCGTCGTGGAACCCCTTTAAAATGCCCCCCAGGTCAAAAGTGCGGCTTCACTTTATTAAGACTGATGCTAATAGTGCACAATGCAATACATCTGGCACGGAAATAATTTAAGAGCAGAAAGTCGCTCTGTGTTTGACTGCAAGAAGAGCGGACCGCAGCCAGCGCGACCATCCTCCTCTCAGCAGCCCGTGGGCAGAGCAAAGCCAGAGCGGAGTGAATCATGCTGCTTTCAAACTGGACGCAGCAAGAGCAGCAAAATCTCGTCTGCTGCTTCATTTTTGCTGCTTGTACCAGCTTCTGACGCGCTGCTGAAGAAGCTTTGCTGCTCTGGCTGCGCGGTCGCAAAGTGGGTCAGACGCGCGTTGGGCGGAGCTACTCTATCCTTTATTTGCCTTGCAGCTATATTTGCTGTGATCAGTGGGAATAAAGTAGTTTTATTATGTTTTTAAGTGGGAAAATCCACCTGAAAACGTAATCAGTGCAGTCAGTTCATCCTGCCTTCAATATTTCTGTCGGAGCCGCTCAGACCCCCCCCATACCAGCGGTGCGCTGTCAGTAGGATCCCATTCAACGGGCTTGTTTGTCAGACATGGTAATTTTTCTAAAGGAAAACTGCTAAGTAAAAAGGTCCTCACAATGTAACAGTGAATATTAGACACTGAATTATTTATTTTTTTATGTAAGAGGAAAAATGTAAATGGAAAAACAGAGCTTAAAATAAAACTCAAGATTTGTACTTTTTTATGTTGTGTAATTTTCTTTTTTTTCGAATTGATATTATAAAACTGGTATCGAAAAAAGTATCGTTCAGGAACCGGTATCGAAGTGAAGGTATCGGTATTGGTACCGGAACCGAAATTTTTTTAACAATACCCAGCCCTATATAGCATGCAGTGTGAATTCACATTCCAATATACATATATATTCATCTTCTTTCGTCAATATAACATGCAATATATTTCAGCACCGGACTTTTTCAAACAAGAAATATACCAAACACTACAAAAACGACAGCATCATCCATTTAATCAAAAATGACTACATTGACATTTCATAGTGAATTACTTTCTATTTACGCTTTCCATTTTCTAGCCTTAGACACAATGTCGATGGCTAGCTCAGTCAGTGTCTTCGAGTTGGTATGAGATGGCCAGACTAATATTACTCTAAATAGTTTACTATAGGATTCATCAGCGTATTTGTGGATTTTCTTGGTTAGTACATCCACTGACTGTAAAATTACCTGAGAAACATCTTTCGGGAGCTAGAATACAGCTTGTTTTTGCAAATGTGAAACAAAGGCATGTTTATGTCGCATCCCCATAAGAGTGAGGTGTAACAAGATGTGGGCAGGTGACTTCACTTTTTTCCAGGCTATCAGCAATCCAGTGAATAGATATCAGTGCGTCCAAAGCAAAGGACCTGGGAGGGTGGTGACTTACCAAAAAAAAAAAACATAATTCCAGCCAATTAAATAAACATACCCATTGTTATATTCATCACCAGCACAGGAATGACATTTGATTTTATGCAATAACTTCATATCAAAAAAAGCCCTAACATTTGCTGGGACTGGGAGGTCATCGGTTGTAATTAAAAATAAATGTTAAAGGAAAAGTCCTGTCAGCAAGGAATAATCAGTAGATCATTATCTGTACTTAAAACTAATATGTTAGCAGTGATTTAATTAATATCACGTTAATCAGTAAAAACATAAAAATTTTTGTAGCAACCGCTGATTCTGGGAGCGGCCATTTTTGCCCAAATTTAGTAACACCTCACTCCTGACATCTTCCCGCAGTGGGGTCAGGGTGCGGTAAGCCTTGCGCCATTCTCCCCGCTTTACAAGCAAAATCAGTGGGACCTATTATACACACCTGCAATCAACAATTATTTTAGATGTTGAGGACTTCCCCATTGAAATTTACAAAAGCTATAAAGTGACAACTATTGAAAATTATTGGTTATTTTACCTTTCTCATACATGATCCTCCACGGACGGGTTCGTCGTTGAATTGCCAACTTGAAGAGGGTTTGCCATCGTCATATGTAGCCAACATTTTCATAGGTTTTCAAGATGACTTTGATAATGGCGTACAGTGACAAACACCAAATAGCACTGGGACTTGATCAACAGCCGATACCGCACTGTGATGTCACAAATCGGTAGGTGGCAGTAGTGTTCTTTGACAAACATGGATGTTATTTTACAAATGACTTTTTAAGTGCACAAACCTGCACTAATGAAGCGCCACCCTTCAGTGAAAAAGTTCTACTTTTGGTCTCTTTAGACATCTGATTGTCATACTTGTGGATCATCCTGTCTTTTTTTCTTTTATGCGAGTTGGGTCTTGGTTGGCAGTGGTTTTAATACTGAAATTCTCTCATGGGTCTCAGTCTTTCCCAGTTTTTCTCATTTATTCATAAACCCTCCTTAGCTGAGGACAGAGGTCTGGAGAATGCCAAAAATGGTCTTTGTTCTTTTTGGATGGTTCCCATAGTCTTACTGTCCCAAAGTCTTAAAACTATCTTGTGTAAGACTTTCAACCTGATGGAGTTTCTTAGAATGGCCTATTATTCAGTTCCTCCTGTGTCCTTTCAGCCTTGTTCAGGCAGGTTATGTTTAAATGATTTCTTGTTTACATTGTTTTATTAGGGGGGTGATTTATATCTGAGAAGTTTTTGAGGTCATCCAATTCACATAGATACAATTACTAGGAAGAATTTGTTACGTAGTCACCAAACACTACATGGAGTATTTCTGAATATCAAATTCAACATTCTAAAATATCAAAGCTGATTAGCAAACACAAGTAACTAGTTTGTTTCAACAGTTTTAACAGATGTTGTTGAAATAAAAATTAGGAGTCAAAAACTCCTAATGGGGAGCTGGATGCCTGAAGCATCCCTCTCCTTTACTGGATTGGTAACAGAGGTGTTTACTGTGTTTGATAGTGGCTGGAACCAAGGATCCTTTTGTGTCTGAAAGATGTGCATTCCAGGTCGACTCTGAGGCCCAAAAGTTGACCTATCTTATTTCCAACAGTGCTCCTTGTATCACCACTGACGTAAGGTCGCTCATTGAAATAAACTTTGTCAGAGTGCTCACTCAATAATAACTTTGACTTTTCTTTCCCTCCCTAGGATGGTCTTCACCTTCACCTCACATTAGATGATCTACTATATGTTCTCTCCTGCCCAGTCCCTTCCCAGATTCCCTATGCCCCCTCCCTGCCCCAGTATCAACCTCTTTCCCATGGTGACCCTCTTCCCTTAAACCTCCCACATCCAATCAGCCCTGTCCCCACTACAACTCCTAATCCCCTCCGTCAAGCCTCAGGTAATGAGCAGTCTATAGAAAATCCACACTATCAGAAATACTACTCTGGTTTCCAGTACCAGCAGTTACCACAAACCTCTCCTCGAGCTTTACAGACCCTTCAGCCAACCATTGAATCCATACACCAGTACCGCTCTGGATCTGAACCATTAGGGAGTAATCCCAGATACCTTTCTCACCATTTTCAATTTAAGGATAATTCAGCACATGAGTTACCTGATTCCCCATCTCAGGATCCATATCCAGCGTTCTATACCTATGTGCCATTCTTTCATCAGGAGTTGAATCCAGCTGTTGACGATCATCACAAACCTCCAGCAGGTCCATATTATCCTCAATACTATCACCAGAAACATCATTACCCTGTAAACACAGTTAAACCAGTGACCCAGGCTCCAGCTCCTCTATCTGGTCTTTCATTTCTACCTAAAGGGCCTTTGAATCCCCAGCATCACTCTGCTCCATTTAATCCAATGTCCTTCTATCATCAGCAAGCACTTTCATACTCTGCTTCACATCCTGTTGCTGCTCCACCATCTGGCAATCCTGATAATCCAATTTATCCTACTAGCCAATCTAACATCCAAACTCCCTTTCAGTTTCTGCTACCTCCACATCTGCCACTAGTCAATCAGGAGTCTAAGAGACCTCTAGCCAGTCATGGTACGTTCTACCCTGCAAATTACCATAAGCTCCATCCCCTTTTCCCGCACTATCCCAAGGCCACTTCTCCCACCATAACCCCAAAGTCAATCAGCCCTGAGAAGTCAATCATCAAGTGTTTGGAGAAGAACATGGTTGCTTTCCTGCCTTTTGCCGATCCAAACACCATCCAGATCAAAGGTCAGTTTTTATGTAAACATAAGAGGTCTTTGTCAGAGGCAAGTGTGACTCTCTAAAGATGTCCCGCATGATTTGTGTTCAGTGATGAGGTTACAGGTATCAATAGATGTCATGTTTTAATTCAATTCAGTTTGTTTATACAGCGCCAATTCACAGCACAAGTAATCTCGAGGCACTGTACAATTCAACCAGATCATACAGTCAGATTTATTCAAAGTTTTCTGTTTAAGGAAAACCAGCTGATTGCATCGACTCATTGACTCAAAGGCAATCCCTCACACCAAACATGCTTGTAGCAACAGTGGAAAGGAAAAACTCCCTTTTTAATGAACCTGAAGGTGTATATTTTGGCTGTAATTCTTTCACAGCTTGGAAAAATCTACAATTTTAGTAACAAGAATACAGTGAAATGGAGTAATGAGGTGCACATTAAAATATGTAACCTTAAAAGATAGTATGAGATTTTTCTTGGGTTCGAAGGTCTAATGGGCACGTCTTCTTTTCTTAGACCCCTTAAAGTCCTGGGAGTCAATCTCCAGTGCGTCTCCATTCTGTGGTTACATGTTGCAGATGACCGGAGGCCTCGGTGTAATTCTCCACTCTCCTCTGCCAGCCTGCCACAGTCACTTACAGGTCACTCCTATTACCAAATCTACTAGTGTATTCATTTACTGAGCTTATGTATGTTTTCAGGATAAAAAAAATCTGTCTTGTCACTTTTAAAGTAAAAAAAAAAAAAATCATCCTTCAGTCTGATCATCACTGTTCTAGAGTGAGAGAGAACATTTGAGCTGAAACTGCAGCTTTTCTTTTAGAGAAAACAAGAAAAAACTTTATTTTTTATTTAGCCTCAGAGATTTACCTAACAGACTGATTTACATTTACATTTTAATAATCAAGTTTTTTTTAAGCTTTACTGATCTGAAAATGAATCTGATTTCTAGTGCTCTTTAGTCTGCCCCTATGTTTAGAAATATGGGGTAGGGTAGGTTTTTATTTGTCTCTTTATTCTTCTTAGCTGTAAAGAACAGGATGTTTTGTAAATAAAAAGGTTTAGATAATGTTTTACAAATAAAGTTAAAGAAAAAATGAATTTCACTTTTTTTTTCAACTTTGTGTTTTTATTAAGTTTTTGTTTTATTAATTCATATTTTCTTCTTCAGACTCCTACCACCATTTCCCTACCCATACGTTATTGGGATTTTTCCACCCAGCAGAATCGGACTCTGGATCTGGAGTGTCCATATCAAATCACTCCCGATACTCCAACATCTACTCCCTGGGATTTCCCCACCCCTCCTAGCACCACTCAGGGAAAGCCTGGTCCTTCTGTCGTCACCATGACTGAAGTCTTCTGCTCCTTCCAGCAGATGAAGGTCGTGCTTCCCCCTGGACCCATTTCAGAAATAGTTCTTAAAGGTGTGTCTGCTTGCCATTAATTCTGCATGAGCTCAGAGACTCGGCTGTGGGAGTAAAAGCCTTGCTTTTTATTGTGTCTGAGGAACTCGGCCTCTTCCTGCAAAGCTCTGATTGTTCTATTTAATGTCTACACTGAAATATTTTGGTGTATGCTTGCCACAAATATATTGCAGACACCGATGGGAACCAGATGAGCCTCCATGAATCTCCTAAAGAATGTGGATATTATGCAAGTGAGGCCAAGGATGGCAAAATCCATTTGTTTCTCCAGTTGCATTCACACTGTCATATGAGCGTGCAGGCAAGTATTGATTCAGATTTCATGCTGAGCACATGACATTTCAAGCAAGTGACTACTTTATGCATGTATTAACTATTTGTGTCACTGATTTTTCTTTTTGCAAAGGATCAAATGTACATTATTAGCATCCTCTACACAACACCAAGTGGAAGAAAGGAGGCAAAGGTTTCCTGTCCGATTGTGAACCCGAGGTCTGAGCATGGTAGATAGATTTTACCTCTAAAAGGCTGTTCAATTTGTCCAGGCCTATCTGTTGTTTCAGCTGTGCTCCTGACATTTGTCGTGCTGCCCCTCAGAGTGCAACCTTCACAGCGAATACCGCCTCCCCTGCGGGTCCAGCTCTATATCCCAGACACAGTGCCTCTCCATGGGCTGCTGCTTCAACAAGCACCCCCCTGCCTGCTACTACCCAATGGATGGTGAGCTGCACTCTGTATCCCTACTGGCGTTTTCACGCCACTTAGCTAAGTGCAGTCGAGCTGTTTAGAGTACAGAAACGTACTGTAGCTGGTGGGTGTGTGAAGGGAAGCATATTCACAGTATGAGTCAAGCCGACAGTGACACAGAATGTGAAAAGGCTGGAAGAAGCTTGGGTCTCGTTATCAATTGCCTCCTGAGATTTCTGACCTTTTGTTCATGCAACCTTTTGGTAACTGTGCATGTATCTGTTTGTGTGTCTTTGTTCATCCCTTCAGAGTGCACTATTGACCGCCACATGATCTTCTCTGTACCCGCCTCCCTCACGGACCCCCCTCTTTCTACTGCACTGTTGGTTGCTGCCAACAACTCCACCTGCAAGCCTCAGAGAGTGACCCCTGAGTATGCATTGTTCAATATCCCAATGGATGGCTGTGGGACACGAAGAGTGGTGAGATTCATAAATCATGGGGGAAAATTGTAAGAATTCCTTTAATGTACATTGTCTATACCAAAGTTATAAAAAGTCTGTGGCTTTATTTTATAGAACTGAAAGTGGGCATTTGTATACACTGCATAAAAACACAACCTTTCCTCTATAGATATTAAATCCACCCAGACTTTTCCTGTCATTTAGTGTTACCAAAATAATTTTTCTAAATGACAAAGGAGATTTGTGTTCTTTAACATGTATGTGTTCAGAAAACCCCCTCATGGTGAAAAATTGGGGTGGCAGCAGCATGCTTTGGAGCATGGACGTAATTTGGGGGAGGGGCACGGGGACATGTCCCCTGCACTTTTTCAAAAGTCCGTTTTGGTCCCCTACACTTTTTACTGTCCAACAATGTTACACTACAGTACTCTAACACTCGTTGAGCACTAGGGCCAAGCAAAAAACCTCTGCTCAAGCTGAAGCCCACTTCTGAGTTTACACCACCCTCAAGCTCTTGATTGGCCCTCCATGTTTTCTTGTGTGAGTAGCTGTGTTCGCTGTCACTCCTGAGAAGCTCACTTTATGCTCCACTAAATTGGGTCTGTGATTGGACGGTCAATGCACTGCTGAAGTCTTAGTGCTAACATAATTAGAACTGTAGGGTCGCAAGCATTTATCTGTTTTCTGGTATGTTTTGGAATTTTGAGGAAACTTAACCGGTCCGGGAGTTACGGTCTGCAAAAGTCGACAGTTAGTGAGGGAGTCCATTACTGTAAATTAGGCTTTTATTTTCTTCTCTTGGATCACATAATCTAGAAGGGTGGTAATATCAGGTGTATTCATTTTCACAAATCTTTGAATTGGTCTCATATGCGTGTGTGTATGTTTGGTTACTAGACTTGCAGCCAGAGTGTCTGGGGGAAAAAAAAAAAGACATAACACTTTTTTTTTTTAAAAGTCAAAATGTGAGTTACATTCAAATAACTGTAACAGCCGTCCTAAAACCTTGGCTCCATAAAGCAGCATATCAAACTTCCAGCTCCTCCACCACATTTTAAAGCTTTCAATAACATTGTAAAGTATATTAGTTTAATTAAAAGTGCTGATAAACAAATGTATTATCATTTTATATCATAATCAATAAAAAGGGGGAAAAAATAAAATCTATGAATGTAATTTTATATATCCAAGCTAAGAGTTGTAAATTTGTTTTTATTCTACATGGATTCTTGAACCCAATATTGTCCAGTTGTTGGCATGCATCCATATACATTTTCAGGAGAGGGATAGCAGAGATGCAAGAGAAAGTGGAGGAAATAAACACAGAAGAAACACTAGATACCATGCTGAACTTCTTTAGATTTTAGATTGACAATGATTTGGGTGACTGAGACTCTTCACCATCATAGACTGATGTTTAATAAGAAGGTCTGACTCAGTCTCTGCTTCATTTCAACCCAAGGCTGTTTTACCACTTCAAGAAATCAGTGAGAATTTGGTTCAGATGAACTTGTTGACCTGCACATTCATGTCATTAAGGACCTTGCCTTGTGCAGTGGTGCACAGTCCTTTTAATGGAACATGCCATCTTCAAACTGTTAACAAAATGAAAAAGATTGATCCACACACTAGCTTACCTTCACAAATTGTTTTATTCATCACAGTGATGTTTCAGGCCAGATTGAAGAAGGGCGTGTCACCCGAAACATCACTGTCTGATGAATAAACCGATTGGGGAGTTAAAGAAAGTTTTATCGGCATTTTCTTCATAATCCAATCAACTATCAACTTTCTCAGAATGTGTGATTTTGCATCTCCAAAATGTTCCTATAAAGTTTAAAGGGAAATTTCAAATTTTGTGCTAAACTGTTGTCTTTATTGCAGCCAAAGGGCCAAGCTCAGCTCCTAAAAACATGGTGTTGGTGTGATAGTCAGATAAATGCCACACACCAGACTTCAGTTTGCTTGATTCATCTCTTCACAAACAGCTTTCCTCCACTGCTCCAGAATGTAGTGCAGGCCTATTTTATACCTTTGCATCCAACATTCTGCATTTTATAAGATGATATATGATATAGATGCAGGTGCTCCACCATGGGAACAAGTTCTCTCTTTGCAGTTTGGGGCCTCCAGCTACTCTGAGACACAAAGTTAGGTCTGCTCCATTCAATCCAATGTCCCTTCACAAATGTCCATTAATACTAAAAATGCTCTATTGCTTTTTTATTTTTTTTTTTTTTATTGAACACCCTTATTGGAGTTTATTTTTTTACATTTTTGGTGAATGATCTTTGCAATCAAGATTTCCAAGTCTACCAACATTCTAGCTGGTGACAGTCAATCCTGATATGTGATTTTACACAGGAACTATCTATAGACATACCTATAATGGACTATTGCATTTGATAATATGGAGTACTCATTTGTCACAAAATTTTAGTTTTCTTTTAACCTGGTATATGGATAGCCTGTATTCATGGAGCACCATTTCAAGTCAAGTGAATTCCAAAGCACTTAACTAACTATAACTATATTCATTCAGTCATTCACATGCTGGTGGTAAGCTACATTGTAGCCTTTGTTGCCCTGGGTCTCACTGGTTGCAGAGAGGCTGCTGCACACAGGCTCCCCCTGGCCTTTTGAAGCAATGTCAGCTCTCCATGTTGGATTCCATCCCATGAGGTCACTGTGTCATGCAACCTCTACAGAATCACATTTTCTCTTTGAGCAGAAAAGATTTAATTTAATTTATTTATTTGACAGGGACAGTGTACGTTAAAAAGCAGTCCTGCAAATGCACCAGAATTAGCCAAAAGGCTATTTTTCATCTGTTGTCCCTGTACGGATCTTAAAATTGTCTTTGTAAAAAAAAAAAAATGTAAGTAAGCATGCTACAATGTAAAATACAAATATAAAAAGACATAAAAACAGCTATAACTCCTCAAAACTGATTTCAAAATACAGAATAAGTGTTCGCTGGACTACAGAGCTTCATAAAATAGAATAAAACATTTAAACTATGTGTGTGTGTATATGTGTATGTATATGTGTGTATGTATGTATGTATGTATATATATATATATATATATATATATATATATATATATATATATATATATATATATATACATACACACACAAAGCAGAGACATAGGTCGCAGCATGGCTTGTTAATGATAGACATTCAACTAATGCTGACATGACTGATGTGTTATGAGCCAATTTTTTTAGATGCTTTTTGAAATAATTGTATGTTGTAAGTTCTCTGATCTGAGGGATAGAGGTCCATTCCTGAGATGCTGTAACTACAAAGGCTCTTTGACTAAAAGCACTTTTATGCAGAGGAACAACAAAGTCTCCTCTAGCCGACCCATGTGTTACTGTTGGTGTGTTCCTGATTTTTACAAACTGAGTGGAGGAGATGGCAGACCGTGGATTATTTTGTAAAACAGACAGGTTTGCATACTTGATAGTTTTCCCAGCTTAAAAGCTTATGTTTTAGTAAAATGTCACAATGGTGATATTTTGATGGTTTTTAGTCCAAGATTTTTGTCTGTTTGTAAAGAGATTCTTAAGGTTTTAGTGAGGTTTTATTTGCCTGTGGCCAGGTTGTAAGACAGTAGGTGATGTGCTTTGCATCCCTGATCTGAGACAGTGGGTGTTTGATTACTGTGCAGGTGCAGCATATTGAAGCTAGGTGTTTCCTGGAGGAGGGTAACGTTAGCTCTACGTAGATGTAGTTCAATTTTATTATTATTTTTTTACAGGAATGGTGGGGGCTGTTGCTCATAGAGCAGAACTCATGAGAATTACTTAGATGCATGAAATATTAATTTGTGCATGAATTTGAATAAATGGCAAAAAATATATTTTTGCATTAGATTGACCCATATATTTTCTGTGGCAAAATGTAACAAGGGCTGGACAATCATTTGATTTATTATTTGATTTCATTTTCTATTTTAGGAAAATTTGAATCAGTTTATTTTTATTCATCAATTCATCCTCTGGTCATCTTTAGTTAGTGACTTTGGTTCATCACTTTTTGTTTTCTTAATGTTCACTCATAACCCATAAAATATTGTGTAACACTATGGCTATAAATGATTTTGTTACCTTTAAATAAGGAATGACTAAAATAAAAGCTAGGTTTTAAAAGTAATGTATGTCATTTGTCATCTTATGAATCTTGGGGGAGAGAAAGATTTGGTATGAGAAAAAATCTGGTTGACACCTATTGTCCAGCCCTACCACAAAGAGAACTGGCATGATGAACAGAATTTGGTTCAAAACTGGAATTAAATTAATTCAACATTTAAATGATTTAGATGTATTCAGATTAAACTATATCTTTATATAAACCTTTTTCTTGAAAGAAAGCATTTTGAATTGTCTTGACTTCAAAGTTATCTTGAATTGCTGCTACTTAAGTAGAATTAAATGTAGTTCGTACATTTGGGTTATTAATAAATTAAAGACACAGGTCCTGACTATGGAGATATTTAATCCCCCCCCCCCCCCCCCCCCCCTTTGTGTTTAAAACCTGCTTCTGCCCTTATAGATGGTGGGGAAGACTGTGGTGTACATGGTGGAGATTACAAACATCGTACAAACTGTCCGCCTCAACTATGGAACCATCACAAGAGATTCACCCATCAGGTCAGTCTACATTTATATGTTCTTCCAGTAGGAGCTGCATGTAAGCATATTAATGAAAAGTTTAGTGAAGGGTAAAATTGCTATAGAAAAAAAAATGAAATCAAGAAATGTAAGATGACGGCATACTTGGAATTGAAAAACAAAGCTCATTTATAAGTTTGGAGTTTCACAAAGGGTGGATTGTGGTGGGGCCCAGGGCACCAAGGGCCACCTCTCACACACCTCCACCCACACACATGGATTACCTGGGCTGCTACTGTCACTCCCAAACCAGAGATATTCAGAGCATCTTGCCTAAGTAGAAGAATCTCACCAAGCCTGTCATGGAGTTTGAGTTGGTTGGTGTGATGCTTCAAGCTGCACTCACAGCAAATGATCCTTATCTCCAGCTTCATACATTTTGCTTAAAGGTTATCTCCTGTTTTCAGGAGACAATAATTATTTGTAGAACACTGGGTGAGCTGTCATTTAAAAATAAGCTTCCTTTCAAAGAGTGTTGGGTTTTTTTTTTAAGGAAGTAGTTGGGATTTATCTTATTCCTTTGATAAAGGGTCTCATTTTCCTGCTCAATTTAAAAAAAATATGCACTTATTTTAAGAAAAAAGATTACTTGCCCAGATTAACATTTTTTGCATTGAACAAACTGGCCTGACCTGAACCCCATAAAAGTATATGGAATATTGCCAACAGGAAGCTGGAGTAGGCAGAACCAACAGTTTGATCAGCTAAAGCAGCCATAAAGCAAACTGCCTTCATGCCAGGCTGCATTGGGTCAGTAATCAGTCAGGGCTCCTTTTACATAAATCACTGAGGGACTGTATTGCACATATAGACATTGCATACACATGCTCATTGGTGGGTTGAAATTTTTGTAAAAAAAAAAAAACTTAAATAGGTTTTGCATCAAGTAATTTTCGGACAAACTGAAGTGTGGGTTATCATAAGAAGCCAAGATCAAAGCAAACATATGCTTTAATTATATTCATAATAAATCTATAAAAGTCTGCATGTCACATCCTAAATTTAAGTCCAAAAATATTCTTTTTAATGATAGTAATACATGATGTCGCATGCTTTAATCATAAAAATGCATTCCTAGTAAGAAGTCTAGTCAGCTTTAGAATTAGATCTAGATTTTGGCTTCTACTAAATATTGATATTTGGAAAAAGGGAAACATTATGGTCTCTGTTATTGTTTTTATAATCTGCATCAGTTCTGAGTGTGATTATCTTTGGTGAAAAAAGAAGTTTGAACTTTGCTAGAAACTCTGTACAGCAGATGCTCTCCTCCTGAACCGTTCCAGTGAATGCTTGGGGAGTAATAAAACAACCAGTAAGCCTAAACAGCTGCTTCTCTGCTCTGATCTCCCAGTGCTGCTATTTGAGACTTCCTGTTTGTCTGCTAGTTGTCTTTTGTTTTCTCAACCAGGTCTATATTTTTCTTCTTTCAACCAATATAACAAGGAAAAATATTTTAGCCCTAAAGGTGTTTGATCCATCATCTTCAGGTTGCTGGTGGAATGCCGATATGTTCCAGGAACTGCGCTCAGTGTGAGCTACGTTGTTAAAACTCCCACCTTTGGTCCTGAAGTTCATACTCAGGGAGTGTTTGGAGTCCAGCTGAGGATTGCTAAAGGTAAAAGGATTCTTTTTTTTTCCTTTCAAATCAAAGAGGTTCTGTTGCTTTTTAAGATGCAAATGTCTAGCTCACATTTGGCTGTAAACACTCTGAAGATTTAATCTGCTTCAGAGCTTCTATTTCAACCTAAGGACTTTTTTTCCCATAAATTTTTCTTTTTGAGTTTTTACGGCACTAGTGGCTCGTTTTTCTAACGGTAGGCTGACAGGAAAGGGGTTACGAGAGAGTGGAGCTAACCACCGCGCCACCTGAATGCCCATTCCGTCAAAATTTCTAATCTGCAATTGATAACTAATTGAACTTTTTCGTTAATGCTTAGATTTGGCCCGAACATCACACTGTATATAACCGGTCAAATCCTGATTAACAAATTATTCCCTTTCTTAAATTGTTTAAAGCATGATTGATTATCAAGATTGATACAAGTATTTATAGAAACCTGTTTTTTTTTCTTGTCTGAAGCTGAATCCATTTGTTTTCTTTTTTCCCCACCTATTAAAGATTTTTAAAAAATCCTGTTTGTAATAAAGTATTGATACCTCCTTAAGGAGGAAGTTAAACACACAAAAATAATTTAAACGTATAAGGTTCTCTTCTTTTGCTTCCATCTATTATTAGATGCCCAGTACAGCAGTTACTACCCACAGTATCACCAACCTCTGCACATGTTGCTGGGGAAACCTCTCCACCTTGAAGTGCGCCTCCTCAATTCCCCAGATCCCAGTTTAGTGCTGCTGGTGCACTTCTGTGTGGCCTACCCCCGCTCTGGAAAAGCTGTGTGGGTGTTGCTTTACAACGGGTATGCAATAACATCTCCACTACAAAAAAAGACAAAAATCTAACCACAGCCGAGAAAGCAGTTTCTACTAGAATTAAAATGCTCATGTCATTACTTTAACATTCTCCAGATGCCCCAACCCTTTGGATCCAGCCCCACCGAAGACCGTTCTGTCGGAACCAACTCCCCCTTCTCCTCAGAGTCAGACACGCCGCTTCACCATTCGCACCTTTCAGTTCCTCCCTGATGGAGACTTCCAGGACACAGATGAGGAGGTAAGAAAACTATCTCGCTATAAATGTGAGTGGGTCCTTCTGTACAAGGGGACATGGTCTTGAGGTTTTTTTAGGACTGGATGTTACAGTTTAGTCGGTTCAAAAAAAAAAGTCAAACACTTGGAATACCTGGCTGTCACTGAGACTACTATTTTCAGGCCTGCATCTAATTCGATTATTTAAAAAAATAAAATCTTTATTCATTTAACCCAAAGCCCTTATTGAGTCCTCTCTTGTCCTAAGCGTGATACAGATAACATTATCGATGACTCCTCACATCCCCACCATGGACTGTTCTCCCTGCTGCCCTCTGGGAAGAGGCTTTGCAGCATTCGATGCAGGACCAGCAGATTCTGCAACAGTTTCTTCCCCACCGCCATTAGACAGTTGAACTGTTGAAAAAACTTGCCATCATGTCACAGACTGCATCACACTGATAACGCCAAACCAAAAACTGTGTATTTGCACCATATATATTGCTGCTCTGAACTTCCATATTAATGCGTTTTTTGCATTTTTTTTTTCCTTCCATGCCATTTACATTTGATCACTGCTGCACTTTATGGAATTTAAATTCTTATTTACTGCCTTGTAAGCTGTACTAAACAAAATTTAGTTTTGTATACACTGTGTATAATAAATCACAGTAAAAGTTGTTTAAGTTTACGATAATTGCTTAGAGGTACAACAGAAATTCCTATCTTTTGACAATCCTACTAGGCCTGACACTTTCTTCTAGCCACTGATTGCTGATACACTTAAAGAACAAAAAAAAAAACACTACTAGTAATCAATGGAGGGACTGGGTATCGAATTTTGATTTTTTGTTTAAATACATGCATTTTTTATTGTATCTAATAACTGTGTTTTGTTCTGTGAACATGCCAAACTGGCTGTTAGGACCACAAATGAAAGTGGGATTCAAGCTTGGATCATGGACAATCTGTGAACTCTGCACAGATATGGACAAATTCATAGGAACCAATATTGAAAATATTTTAATTAAACAAACTCCAGGTCCACCCTGATCCCACTGTATGATGAACAGAGCCGAGCCATTTGAAGACTGTTTTTAACCCAGGTCGCATGCAGAGTTGGTTGACGCGGGTCAGTGAGCTGTTCTGTTTCTCACTTAAAGCTGATTATTCCCGGGTTTAAAGACATTTTTTTATTTTTTTTTTGCCAGAGGGAAAGGGGTCTATGTTTTTTTTCAACCCTAACCTGTTTTTCAATTGAATCAAATTTTATGACAGAGCTTTCTTACAGTAAATTGTTGGTAAAACGTCAACAAAGCAGGAAGAAGAGGTTAATTTATATACCCTTTTTTTTTTGAAATTCTTGTAATTTTTGGTGAAATTGGGAAACTTAAGTTCAGTTTTAGTTGAAAACAGCTTTTGAACTAGACCTTGTGTGGATGTACAAACCAAACTTATGTTTTTTACATTGAAGAAACTGGTAAATTCATTGCAGGCTTTGGTAGAGTGGATTTTAGATGCTACAGTTACAGAAGGGTTTGTTAGCCTGTGGCAATTAAGACATCATCGTTTTTGCTAATTATCTTAGAGAAAATTTGTTTTTGGTGGTTAAGGTCTGTAAAGTCTGTCTTTATAGTGAACCTACAGTCCAGACTTTCAACACCTGCATTCAGATTTTCAATACTTCCAGTGTTCATTTTTTTATCAGTGAGGGCTCTGTCTTCTCATAAACAAACTTCACTTCAAGTAGTAAAAAATTATAGATTTTTGAGGTTTTAGAATACAAACTTATCTACCAGCTCATGATGGATCGAGAGCTAATTAAAGAGTAAATCTGGTTAAAGGTTTCAGTAACACCATCCTTAAAGATGTATTTTCTCTTATGTCTTTATGGTTAAGTCATTGGGAATTATGATTTAAAAGTCTGCCGTGTCTGTCGGTTTTCTGCCTAACATGTTGGGTCGAACCAAGGTTTCTAAGAGTATTGCATAGTTCTGTTGCACTTCTGTCTTCAGGATTGTCGCAGCAAAACATGTCTTGTCATTGTTTTTGTTTTATGAGCTTTCATTCTTTGGGGTCACAGGCAGACCCTAATATTGTGAACAGTATTAACCTCCAAATAACCTTGGCTGTTGCCATTTAGGATTACAGGCATAGTTGTATATCGTAGTCCCTGGTCTAACACTTCATATCTACTTCTAGTCAAATGTGTTTTTATCTTTTAAACAGCCATTTTTTGTAAGATTTTTCAAGTCCTCTGTGGTAATGGGAGGCATCTTGTGCAGATTAGCTGGTGTCAATGTGTCCTTTTAGGCTTGGTCATGTAACATGGCAAATCCTTTAGAAAACAATTTCTAATAATCCAAGGGAGTCTCTGGTCTGTCCAACTTTTCTCCAATGTTGGCTAAGAAATGAAAAGTTCATTTTAAAAGAAGGTAAACAAGCAGGAAACAGGGAAGAAAGGAATCTTAGCAGGCAGAGAGATTAAAGTAGTGAAATAACTACTTAATCACTACTCTGGAGGGAATTTTCTGATTTAACCTCCACGACTAACTTGGAACAATTCAACAGTAAACAATAGACATTGTAGATGGAAATTCATATTTTATAAATATAAATGGTTTTATAGGTTTGTGTTAAACTGTGTTCTGTTGGACTTTAATTTGTAATCATGATATTCATATATATTTTTTATAATTGAAAATGGCATAAATTGAACAGAACTGTCTGCTCAAAAAATCTAATTTAATGTGTAAAATTATGTAATCAAACAGATCTTGAGTAGCCATTTCAGAACTACCATTTTACTCTTAAGTAATCTTTTTAATGACTACTTTCTACTTAATAATGATATAGTGCTATGTTTGATTTGCACCCATTGGTCAGCATTTATGCTTATCTGCTTGTATAAAGCAACCAACATTTAACCAAGTTAAGGAAGAGAGTGCAAGAAAACCAAGCTTGACAAAGGAGCAGCACCTCTGTCTGCACAGCTCTGGGAGGAGCATTAAGTGCTGAAAGGTCAATTGCTCCTGGGATCACAGCCAGTAGATGGACTTTGAAATGCATTTATCACACAAATGATTTTTTTCAAAGACCATTTAGTCTATAGATACTGCCATCATGAACGACACAAAATACTGTCTTCTCTCTGTGCATAAGCTGTTTATTTTATCTGATCTGGACAGCTCCAGGATTTGTGTTGTGCATTTTCCCCAATTTATTTATTTTTCCTATAACTTTTGCATCGTCAATAAATTTGTTACCAAGGGTATACCTTTAACCCATTCCGGTGCTAAAACTGTTATATGGATGATAGTTCATCTCCACATTAAAAACTGTAATTGTTAAAAAGGTTTTTGTATTTATTTATTGCACCGATTGGATGGTGGATTAGCCAATCAGGTCCCTCCTTTCCCCCCTCCACTGCTTTCTAAAAGTCCTCCACACAGATCCTAACATTCTTCACTTTAGTTCCCTTTAGGCTTTAGGTGCTTTGTGACTTACTAATTTTACTGGAGTAAAAAAATTCTTACAATTTGAGAAAACTGCTTGTTTTTCTTTTCCTAACATGACATCATTGATCTTCTTTTAGTCTTTGGAATCCCTGAGGTTTGTTATTTGTCCTTTTCAGATCTACTTCATGTGTTCAACAGAGATCTGCTCTCCTCGAGATGGTCCTTGTGTTGAGGGATGTTTTGGTCAATGACTGTGAGAAATGGATTGCATCAATGCACAACATCGTGATGAGCCCTGGAGGAAGCTGTAAAATCAGAGCCTTGTTTACAAATGATCTGAAGACAGCTTGAGGGTTTGTGGGAGCTGTGCTTTCATGGAACCTAGTATGAGAATCAATTGACACTCAATAGTGGTTAAAATCATGATCTGGTAAAGGTTTGCCTTGAACTTCATGAAGAATTCCAGGTGATGTATTCTCTCCCTTTGCTTTAGTTATGTGGCATTTAACGTCCAATAAATGCTCTTAAATATCTCTAAAGTTGTTGCTGTTTCCTTTATTCCTGCACCTGTTCGGTTTATTGAAGTTGAGTTGAGCAGCTGAGCGTGTTATGGGTAGGAAAAATAATGAAAAACTCCAGCAAGAACATGCTTACTTCATTATTCAGAACTTTCCTTTTGTTTTGAGAAATGGGTGCCAGTTTTTAAGAGCTTAGTGTGCTTATTTTTTTTTGCGAAAACATTCCCTAACTACTAGGTATAGAAGTGTAACTGGTGATCTAAAATGTTTTCACAATACTCTTGTAGTTGAGTCAAATCAAGCCATCCTTTTTCTTCCTAATGTTTAGTCGTTGTTTGTTTCCCAAATAAACAGGAAAGATCCAAATTGAGAGGAAACATTTTTGGGTTTATGGATCACGTATAAATGCCCCTCTGCCATTTTACTTAGAAGAAATAGAAAATCCTCTTGTCTTACAATGGGGAAATTCTGGTAAAATTCTGCTTTAATCATAAACTAAAAGTTTGCAGTCTTGTAACTATTTAAGTACAATCTCTACCAGCAAAGGGAAGATAACAAATTGTGATAAAGTGACATACTTTCTTACCCTATCTTTTTGGGTTTCAAAAACACTTTATTAATCCCTTAAATAAATTAAATTGTAAAAGGCATTTCACCCAGCATTGGAAGTTTGCCTTCAATTTCAGTCAATTTTGACGTGAAATTGTATATCAAAATGATTTAAAAGAAAATTTCTGTCAAAAACTACATTATTTGCTTTTTCTGATTTTTATCATTCTAGCCTGGTGTTTATGCCCAACCCTGACATTTACCCAAACTATTACTAGTATATTCCTCAAGTTAGTTCACACAGTATTTTTAAGCAGTCTCCCTAACATTAAAACATGGAGGTCCATTATATTAAGACTGGCCTTTGTTCCCCACGGACCTGTTGGTCCTAAGGTTAGTAAATGTACCGAAAATGGTCCTACTTGGGTAACATAACCACACACCGCTGTTCATGCTTACTTCAACCCGGTTTGCACATCTTAAGACTAAATCATTAAATACATTGCTAAATCTATTCACTCCTTTCAAATGTTATGTAGATGGTATTTTAAAGCAATTGTGAAAGAAGGGGTCACTCTTGGCTCCGTAAACTCTATTATGGTGCTATCATAGGATGCCACCTGTACAACTGTAGTCAATGAAATGTCCTTACTCCGAAATACTCTCTTTACCTGTCTGTGGTATAACAAGGTGGAAGTTTGAACTTCAGCAACTTAAGCACATAAACTGATGCTCTTAGTAAAAGTTTGTCAACTTTCTGCAAAGTGGATCCCTTTAAAGACCTCTAAACTTAATGAGACCTTCTGGATAGCTGAGAAATGTTAAATGTAGTGTTTTGGAATGATTTCCCTTGTTAATATAGCCATGCATTTATTAATATACAGTGGGGCAAAAAAGTATTTAGTCAGCCACCAATAGTGCAAGTTCTCCCACTTAAAAAGATGAGAGAGGTCGGTAATTTTCATCATAGATATACCTCAACTATGAGAGACAAAATGAGGAAAAAAAATCCAGAAAATCACATTGTCTGATTTTTAAAGAATTTATTTGCAAAATATGGTGGAAAATAAGTATTTGGTCAGTTACAAACTAGCAAGATTTCTGGCTCTCACAGACCTGTAACTTCTTCTGTAAGAGGCTCCTCTGTCCTCCACTCGTTACCTTCATTAATGGCACCTGTTTGAACCCGTTATCAGTATAAAAGACACCTGTCCACAACCTCAAACAGTCACACTCTAAACTCCACCATGGCCAAAACTAGAGAGCTGTCAAAGGACACCCGAAACAAAATTATAGACCTGCACCAGGCTGGGAAGTCTGAATCTGCAATAGGTAAACAGCTTGGTGTGAAGAAATCAACTGTGGGATCAATTATTAGAAAATGGAAAACATACAAGACCACTGATAATCTTCCTCGATCTGGGGCTCCACGCAAGATCTCAACCCGTGGGGTCAAAATGATCACAAGAACGGTGAGTAAAAATCCCAGAACCACACGGGGGGACCTAGTGAATGACCTGCAGAGAGCTGGGACCAAAGTAACAAAGGCTACCATCAGTAACACACTACGTTGCCAGGGACTCAAATCCTGCAGTGCCAGACGTGTCCCCCTGCTTAAGCCAGTACATGTCAAGGCCCGTCTCAAGTTTGCTAGAGAGCATTTGGATGATCCAGACGATGACTGGGAGAATATCATATGGTCAGATGAAACCAAAATAGAACTTTTTGGTAAAAACTCTACTCGTCGTGTTTGGAGGAGAGAGAATGCTGAGTTGCATCCAAAGAACACCATACCTACAGTGAAGCATGGGGGTGGAAACATCATGCTTTGGGGCAGTTTTTCTGCTAAGGGACCAGGACGACTGATCCGTGTGAAGGAAAGAATGAATGGGGCCATGTATCGTCAAATTTTGAGTGAAAACCTCCTTCCATCAGCAAGGGCATTGAAGATGAAACGTGGCTGGGTCTTTCAGCATGACAATGATCCCAAACACACCGCCCGGGTAACGAAGGAGTGGCTTCGTAAGAAGCATTTCAAGGTCCTGGAGTGGCCTAGCCAGTCTCCAGACCTCAACCCCATAGAAAATCTTTGGAGGGAGTTGAAAGTCTGTTTTGCCCAGCGACAGCCCCAGAACATCACTGCTCTAGAGGAGATCTGCATGGAGGAATGGGCCAACATACCAGCAACAGTGTGTGAAAACCTTGTGAAGACTTACAGAAAACGTTTGATCTCTGTCATTGCCAACAAAGGGTATAAAACAAAGTATTGAGATGAACTTTTGTTATTGACCAAATACTTATTTTCCACCATATTTTGCAAATAAATTCTTTAAAAATCAGACAATGTGATTTTTTTGGATTTTTTTTTTCTCATTTTGTCTCTCATAGTTGAGGTATATCTATGATGAAAATTACCGACCTCTCTCATCTTTTTAAGTGGGAGAACTTGCACTATTGGTGGCTGACTAAATACGTTTTTGCCCCACTGTATTTATAGATATTAATTTATGGTTTGACATGTATATTATGTTGATTAGTTAATCTGTGATTGTATAAGACTTCTAGATGAGTGTAGAAACAAGCTCTTGCCCATTAAACATTAAAACATTTTAAAAATACACTAAATCCTGTATTCATCCTCTAACATTTGGTGCAAAATTAATACATTTGGAAATAGTTCAGAGGTTAATGTATTGTAGCATTTCAACATCATGTCACTATGAAGATGGTGTGTTTGAAGTGTTCCGTGTTGAATACCTGCCACACTTTTTACATTTCCTAGAAAGCGATGTTGACAATGTTTGTTTATTTTATTTTTTCTGTGCACATTTTTCTCTCAATATTTAATCGTTTTGCTCTCGTTGCTCTTTACACAAAATCACAGTAAGATAACTTGAGGTTTATGTTTGTAACTAGCAAAATGTGAAAACTTCAAATGCTAGTAATATTTTTTTAAGCCACAAGTCTCTCAGTCACATGAATGGTCACAGGATTAGCCTCTGCAAAGGCCCAAAACAAGTAACTGTCTTATCCTCTTGATTGTGAGTAGAATAACTAAACATTACAGATTATGTAATTAGAAAACCTTATCAATACTAAAATCTTTTAGTGGTGAGAATCTCATGAGACTACACAGTTATACATGGTTTCACTCTTCATTCAGTATTGATACCAATTTTTAAATCTAACTTGCAGCGGTACAGTTTGTTTCTTTAATCATTTAAATTTATACCACTCATCTGCGTTTCAGCAGTACTAAAGCTGGAATGGACAGTAACTGTATTAAAATTTAATTCAAAAGTACCTCTAACCCAAAGGGAAAATAACTCCTATCCAAGTTGTAGATTCTGAAGGCTTTGGGCACAAAAGAACTTCTGTAGTGGTTAGTATTGCAGCTCTAAAGTAGCCTCTGACAGAAGACTGTCTGTTGTAGACGGTTTTTATTGTGGGCTTATATAAATCAATTGATCTGATGCGATACCAAAAAAGGTGGCAGAAGGCATTGCACTCACAGCAGACTTTAAAAATTGTGATGCATTGCAACTTCCTATTAAAACTGAAGGACCAGTGTTAATAGTATAGACTGCTCTGTCCCTTGTTTCACTGTGTGCCTCAATTTTGTCTGTTCAGGTGAAGACTGGGGTTTTTCTAGGTCGGCTTTCTTCATAAAATATCAGGTATACTTCTGATTTTGTACAGCATATTGAAGTGACTTGGATTTATGGAACCATATTCTTTTAGTTCGTTTCACATGAGACCTTTACAGCAACCAGGTCACCAAAAAAACAAAATGATTGTAAAGTTTAGTGTTTGGTGTTTATACACTGCTCAAAAAATAGATGGAACACTCAAAAAACATCCTAGATCTGAATGATAGCACATTCCACTTTGTACCGAACAAAGTATTCAATAATATTTCTGACAGCAAAATCACATAAAAATCAATGATGCAAATCAAATGTACACTACTCAAAAAAAAATTAAAGGAACACTTTGTAATCAGAGTATAGCATCAAGTTAATTAAACTTCTAGGATATTGATTTGGTCAGGTAAGTAGCAGAGGGGGTTGTTAATCAGTTTCTTTTGCTTTGGTGTTAATGAAATTAACAACAGATGCATTAGAGGGACAACAACGAGACGACCTTCAAAACAGTAATGATTTTACAGGTAGAGGCCACTGACATTTTTTCCCCTCATCTTTTCTCTTTTTCACCAGTTTTGCACACTGTCACTACTGTTAGCATGAGGCGCTACCTGGACCCTACAGAGGTTGCACAGGCAGTCCAACTCCTCCAGGATGGCACATCAATACATGCCATTGCCAGAAGGTTTGCTGTGTCTCCCAGCACAATCTCAAGAGCATGGAGGAGATTCCAGGAGACAGGCAGTTACTCCAGGAGAGCTGGACAGGGCCATAGCAAGTCTACAACCAACCAGCAGGACCCATATCTGCTCCTTTGTGCA